ATGGGGCGGTTGCTTACGCTCGGGTAAGCTATGCGAAGGTACAACCTTACTGTGTCCTGTTATACAGCAAGTCTAGGGTGGCACCTATTAAACAAGTCACGATACCGAGGTTAGAAATGGCGGCAGCAGTCTTAAGTGTAAGGTTGAGCGAGGTAATACGGAAAAGTCTGCCCAACTTCTTCTGTGGAGTGAGTTTTCATACGGATTCCATGATAGTATTATACTATATTAAAAATGCTGAAAAGCGGTACACCAGCTACATAGCTAACCGTCTTGCTGTTGTTCATCAGTATACCAGTATTGAGCAATGGAGTTATGTAAGCTCGTCACAGAATCCGGCAGATTGGACTTCAAGAGGCATACAAAGGATGAATGATCTAGAGACTTGGTTTAAATGTCCGACACTGCTGTACAATGACTCAAGTACCACCACTTACTGCCCAGAACCTACTATGGACTAAGTCGAGTTCAGAAAGGCTACGGTCAATTTGAGTAGTACGGCTAACACTCCGTCACCTATCTTGTCTTATTACTCGGAATGGATGAAATTGGTTAGGGCTGTAGCGTGGCTCAGAAGGTTCATAGACTTCTGGATAATACTTCACTCGCCGAGTATTGAAGGCTCCGTCACGACAGGTTGCTTAAAGGTCAAGGAGCTTGAGTCAGCCAAACGGAAGGTCCTGATGGTTGTTCAAAAGGAGGCATACGGAGAATTACTGAAAGAATCCAACGTTAGTCGTAAAGAAGTGAGTAATAAACGTCTGAGAGGTTTAGCACCAATAATGATTGATGGGTTACTCTGCGTCGGAGGTCGCCTAATGTACTCCGAACTCCCGAGCGAGTCGAAACATCCTGTAATTTTGCCTGGTCGACATGGGGTAACCGAATTGATAATTAGACACTATCACAAGGAAGAAGGACATATGGGAACTTCGCATGTGTTAGCTACGATCCTCAAGTATTATTGGATAGTTAAGGGCACCAGCACGGTTAAAAGAGTAATAGGAAAGTGTGAAACTTGTCGAAGGTTCACTTTGTGTCCAGGGAACCAACAGATGGCGCCACTCCCAGTTTACTGAGCGCAGAAGGGTTGGTATAGTTTCTCGACGACAGGAGTGGACTACTTTGGACCTCTTCTGGTCAAGAGAGGTAGGTCACTAGAAAAAAGATATGTTTGTGTGTTTACCTGCCTGCAGACAAGAGCAGTACATATTGAGATGGCATACAGTCTGAATACCGATTCATTTATAATGGCTTTAATACGTTTTATCGAAAGAAGAGGGAGACCGACAGATGTGTTTAGTGACAGCGGATCAAACTTCATGGGGGCAGTCACTGAACTAAAGAGCTTCGTGCAACAGTGGAATCATCAGAAAATTAGTAAGGAATTATCGTCAAGACAAATTCAATGGCATTTCAACCCTCCACTAGCCAGCCATAGAGGTGGAGTCTGGGAACGAATGATTAGATCTATACGAAGGCTGCTATTATTGATCACCAGGGAACAAGTGTTAACAGATGAAACCTTGGGTACGTATCTGATTGAAATTGAGAGAATTCTAAACGATCGACCCCTAACCCCGGTAGTCCAGGATGCTAACGACCGACTAGCTCTATCACCAAATAGCCTACTGTTATTGAGAGAATGTGACGGAATAGCTGAGGAAGGAAGTATTAGTGACAAGTTCCACAAACGTTGGAAGCAGGTAAATTACTTAGCCAATGTATTTTGGAAAAGGTGGTTAAAGGAGTATTTGCCTTCCTTACAAACTCGTCAGAAATGGCTAAAGGAGCATCGCAATTTTCAGAAAGGAGACGTAGTTATTGTCGCCTCGGATATTACTACTCGTGGAAAATGGCCCTTAGGGATAGTAGAGGATTGCGAGACAGATTAGAACGGAAAGGTCAGAACAATAGTCGTTCGTACTAATAACGGGGTAGCGAGAAGAGACATAAGAAGGGTGTGTCTCCTAGAAGGTTCCAACTAGATAGGTCATATCCATGTTGGAGGGCGGGTAGGCGTACTGCTGTAAGTCCTACACGTTCTTCCGGTGTGGATTAGGGGATGAGTGGGAACCCTAAATTGAAGTGTCATTAACGCTTGCTCTTTTTGCATGGAGGGATTTTGCGGGCCGGTGTAGAATCCTTTTTGAATGTTTTGTTTTTTGGAAAATCCCTCCATGTTTACATATTTTTGTTATGACATGACGGACTCTTTCTGTTGACATTTTTGGTATTTTATTTGATTCCAATTTGAGATTTTATCATTGTATATTGTTATTATTTCTATATTTTGTACTTATATTGAAGTTTTTGTGTTTGCTTCTGAACTGTATATATGTTGTTTAAATTTGATCTTCAATATGGCTACAGCCATATTTGGATTGATACGGTAGCTGTTGGACTTAACGTCACTTATTCATCTTTGTCTTGGATACTCTTCGGAGTAATTGTACCCTGGAAGGTGCATCAATTCCAGGTATTGCTTTGTATTTCTATCTTTTAATTAATAAAGACCGTTTTCTCCTAGAAATTCTGCTTTTTCTGGACCTTGGACCGGGAGATACGCGTTCAGGTTGCACTTATTGGAAACCATTTGAATCGCTACGGTAGAAATCCGTTTATAAGACAACTTCGCTGACCACACGAAAACTCATCAGGGTTGACGAGCTCTTGGAGGCACACTTGGTTTGTTACTAAACAGAAGTATACCATCTTCATGAGAAATAGTTTCCCATGATGTGGTGAAATTCACAATTCTAAGGAGATAATTATCAACAAATACTTGTTTTCGGGCGGTACTTATGCTTGAGGAATTACCAAATATGAAAAGTCATCTTGGTTCCATATTAGCAGCACTAGGTTTTGTGTCTTGAATCGAAATTTATAGGGTGTTAACAGTTGGAAATCTTGTTACTGATAATGAAGCATAATATTAGTAAATGTATACATGAGAAAAACTTCCAGTATTTCCACTTCTTTTAACTGATGGTCAAATACTCACCGAACCTTGTTAGTGATAATCATCAGTAAAACATGGATATTTTGTAGGAGACAAATTATTTTCGGAGAAGTCACGAATGAGATTCTTGAATCTAAAAATAAACCAAATCACATTGTCAAGAACTCCTGAGAAGCCGTTTGAACTACCTCAGCTGACAACGAATTCAAAGAAATAATTACTTGTTAATAATAGAAGACATACCTGAAGACCACTTTGTTGTGCTTTACCTCCGATAATCAGGTTCATCACGGAAACTTTGTATCGAAACCAAGCTTATATAGGTCTTTAAGAATGATGTAGTTTGATAAAGGATTGCCTCTTAGCAGGTAGTAGTCTATTGAGGGAAGTTCCAATGAATCACACTGTTATTCGCTTGGTTCGAATTCGCATCTTTAGACTGATTTTATGGTTCGCCCTCGGATGTCTTCCAGAGTATTCACCAGCTTCTGGTGGCGAGGTCTTGAATATCTCATCCACATATTGATGAGGACAAGGTTTCAAATGCTTGAGACGCCACTATGTGGTAAGTAGTATTTTTCACTCATTGTCACTCAGTATAAAATTACCATTAATAATAGCCGTCTTATATCCCTAGACGGTGAATCTAATACGTTCGATTGACTTGAATCAGTTGCTGGATTGTCACGTTGCGTGTACCGAATGAGCTGTTTCATTAGATTGTAGTGAGCGAGTCGAGATACCAGACTGGACTATGCTCACCACTAAATGTTCCATATGGTCATGTCACGAATATTAAAACAAATCCATGGTCCGAGGTTTTATTGAAGGAGACAGTAGGTATTACATCGGGAACAGCGAATGTAGAAAGATGGCAGCAACGCGAAGAGAACATTGCGCGCAAGAAGTCGTAGAAGTGTTTTTGGTACAGTTAAACAAAACGAGCACAATAATGTTCATTTTTCACAAATTGTATTTTCTTCGTAGAAGCGTTCCACTACAAGATTATCAGCTGTATAGTGAGTTTATACATATATGGAAGGGGTGACACTTTGGTCGTTATTCGGTTTACCGCTTCTGTGGAGGAATCGGCTTGATCTCTCAATTGCCTTTTTCGCTTCCACTTTATCTTTTTCTGGAACATGAATGGATGTCAATGATTAGATTTCAAATAATTCGGATTTTCTTATCTATTCATAGCTAAGTTCTCAGTTAGTTCAGTTAATCTGTTTCTAGAGAATCGTTTTGTGGATGAACGCACTTTAACACCATCTCTTTCACTTCTAAGTGCGTCGTTTCCTGTTTCAGCAAGTACAATAAATATTTTTCCTTGAATGAACTTTATGCGAGACTTCTTTGTGTTTTAACTGATGAGCACGCAATTCGGTAGAAGGGCAGACTATGCACCATTCGTCCTAATGGATATCACGCAAGATGATCCTGAATAATTTTACGATGTAGTAAAACTAGTGACCACTGATATTTTGCTTTTAAAATATATGAGCTTCTTGCTAAAATTCTTTGAACCTATAAGGTCGTTTTCCTATGCTTCTGAGCACCAATAATATGAGGCACCTCTGTAAACGCTAAACATATGACTGGTAAACCGTAAACTCAAACACGGTTTAATAGTGCCATACAGTATTACAATCCAATGGACACATTTTGAAATATCTAGAATAAGTTCTTATAGAAACTTGATAATAATATCATATATCATCTATTCTTGCTGTTTTGTATATGAATATTCATCGATAATGAAAATGGGAATCAAGTGCTATTTTAAACTAACTTCTTTTCTATCCTCCGAAAAACTATTCAAAAAGAATTTGGGGTTTTATCTCACTCATTCCACAATTTCTTCATCCTTCTCAATACCTAAGAGTGTAAAGAACACTTGTTCCCGTTCTCAGCAGAAAGTTATTTCTTCAAACTGAGCTTTTCAAACAAAAGAACCGATTGTTTGTTATTCCAAACAAGTTCAGTTTGAAGTTTGTAGTTATACCACTTTTCCCAATATAATTTACTTGGACTCTAGGGCGGTTTTCTTGCGGCGCTTCGTTTGACCATAGTACCTTACGAGGGTTATATGATTCACCAGAAAGTTGAATTCAGGATCTATGTGTGAACTGATATAAGCCGAAATTGTTGATTATTCACTTGAAGTGATAGCACTAACCCTACATATATTACGGATAATTATGAGTCTCTTTACAAGTCCACCTCCTGTTGTAAAACGACTTATAAGTTACATCAAGGAAGGTTCAGATAAAGAAGAAAAGTGGAAAGAAAAGGCTGTTAAATCTTTAGTTAAAAGGTTAAAAAATGGGACACAATTAGACGAGTTGGAACGTGCTCTAGTTAGCCAAGATCCATCTACTCGCTGTGTTACTATTCCGCGTTCATTGGATGGACGTCTCCAAGTAAGTTTTCGTGCATAAGCCTGTTTAAATATAGTTTTTGTAATAATCTGTCGTGATTTAATAAAGTTAGTCTCACCCTAACGATCAGCAATGGTTCGTTAGACAGTGTTCTAGCGGCTACAATTTTCTTAATCGCCTTATGAAATTTAACATTGGATTTAAGCTTTATCATTCTAATATTATGTACCAGGCCTCTAAGTAACTCAAAACACCTAAGTTTGTTTATATCACGTGCAAAGTCAGTAAAAGCAAATAACCTTAGAAAGTCTTTCAAAGAAGAGTTTTCCACCATGAAATCAAAAGCATCATAATTTTCCTACAGCTGAACCAGAAAAACATCCTGAAATGGAATTTATGGTTCTATTAAGTTATTGTTAAATTATTTAGCCATTTTCAAATTAATAGTTCTCTGATAGATCATGTAAATGCATAACATAATAACTTGGCCCACTTTTGTACATTTACAGTTTGATATATCTATATATATACATATATATATATTATAAGTTTACTCATACTTTTCTTATTTATTGTCCCATTTTACTGCAAAATATCTTTCTTCAGCTCTGTCAAGACCCATACGACTTATCTGACGGTAGGATCTTAAAAAAGAGAGGTTTCAGGTTCTGTCGATCGTAGGACGTAGGACTAAAGCCCCTTGATAGACCTAGAATTCCTGACGGTTCATTTCGGCTGCACAAGTAGTCCAATAGTCACTTTGAGTAGTACCAACTCACTGGGTTTTCAATAACGTGAAATTCTGTTAGCTTGATAGGTTCCCGCAAGCACAAGTTTGTATTGGTTTGCGACCGGGTACTCTTTATCATTAAGCTGAAATTAAAGCAGTATGAAGAACTGACGAATTACGATTGATTCATGAGTAGTGTTGTAGCCTGAAAAATCAATAGATCCTAGATTATATTTTAAACACTGCATGAATAACGAACCGTACACGCTATCTCCAGTGTTTCCCTTCTACAAAACTACTACCTCAACTTTTTTCACCAAGAATAGTTCTTGGCTCAGCTGACCTTCGTCCCATTTGATTACCTCCAACGTTAAACCAAAATAGCACAGAGAGATCGAATTGGCAATTCGAATCCCGTAGTAATAGAGGTAGTAGAAGTATTAGCGTTAATCAAAAGGATTAGGGATCGAAGATATTCGAAAAGTTTAATCCAGTGAGGTAAATTTAAAAAGAGGAGGATTGTAATGAGAAGTTCAGAGGACACGAATCCGGGAGAAGACAACAATGG